CTTCACTGGTGCTGGTGGCGGTGTTCGGGAATCGAAATCAGCTTCTGCTCGCACGCAAACAAAGACAAAACCCCCGTGTAGCCTTGACAGACTGTTGGGGCAAGTGCTGTTAGCGTGCGCAAATGACGGCCGGAACGGTATACGAGAGGATGGGTGGCCAGCACCACGCGCGACCGCCTTTGTCTCCCTAGTGCCGATGTTTACACATGGCACCAGGTACTCGTTTGAGGTTGAGTCGACCTAGGGGAGGCACAGGTACCGGTTCAGGTAATCGGCATCGTTGTGAGTTCGATTACCGTGAGCGGGAATCGTGCTCACGATCCGCCCGGGTTTCGTAGCGCAGCGCGCTAACCACTGCGCCACCGCTCGCACACACACACACAGACGCACGCACACACACAGACGCACACACAGACGCACACACACACACAGACGCACGCACATACACACTCGTACATCTGTTCCACCGCATCCGGTAAATTATTCGCTTGCGCTATATATTTAGCAGAGAGCACCAAGAATATTCCAACAAAAGGCGTTGCGTAACCCGGGCGCATCGCTCCTAAATATACCCGCGCCCGCAGGTCGGGTTACATAACATTGTGTAACACACTGTGTGTGTGTGGTGTAACACACTGTGTGTGTGTGTGTCGTGTAACACACTGTGTGTGTGTAGTGTAGCACACTGTGTGTGTGTCGTGTAACACATTGTGTGTGTGTGTGGTGTAACACATTGTGTGTGTGTGTGTGGTGTAACACACTGTGTGTGTGTGTAGTGTAACACACTGTGTGTGTGTATCGTGTAACACACTGTGTGTGTGTTGCCGCAGCCGCTGACGTATTTACATCCCAATGACACAACTCGGGGAAGAACCACGGATTACGAATCACTGCGGACCTGCTGCTGCTGTTGCTGCTGCTGTTGCTGCTGCTGCTGTTGCTGATGTTGCTGTTGCTGCTACTGATGCTGTTGCTGCTGATGTTGCTGCTGTTGCTGCTGCTGTTGCTGCTGTTGCTGCTGCTATTGTTGCTGCTGTTGCTGCTGCTACTGATGCTGTTGCTGCTGATGTTGCTGCTGTTGCTGCTGCTCAACAGAGTGCATGCAGTGCATTGTGCACAGGGATGAAAGCGTGTTCAGTGCCGTAGGAATCAGCGAGTACGCACTGTGTGGGTGTGTGTCTGGGTGTGTGTGCGTGGGTGTGTGTCTGGGGGTGTGGATGTATGGGTGTGTGTGTGTGTGTGGGTGCATGGGTGTGTGTCTGGGTGTGTGGGTGTGTGTCTGGGTGTGTGGGTGTGTGTGTGTCTGGGTGTGTGTGCGTTGGTGTGTGTCTGGGGGTGTGGGTGTGTGTGTGTGTGGGTCGACACGGCCTCAAATGAGTACCTGGTGCGGTGTGTTAGCATCGTAACTCGGGAGACAAATGCGGTCGTGCGCGATGGTGGTCACCCATCCCCCCGTGTGCCCGAACGGCCTTCATCGGTGTTGGCTAACATCAACGGTCTCGTCGGTCTCGAAGGGTGATCTTTATCTCTGTGCGGTTGCTGCAAGGGCAACAGGCTGGCCAACAACATCGAGGAGCGATCGTCTGAGTTGCCGAATCGAACACTCAACTTGGGATCAGAACTCACGTGCTCAGAGCGGAAGTCGAATGCGTTCACCACAGCGCCACATGGCGACATCACAACCTGCTTAGTCCCTGCTCCTCCCCTTCTAGGTCGACTCAGCCTTAAATGAGTGCCCGGGTGTGTGTGGTCCTGGCCACATCTTACTTTCGTCTAGTGCGCCGTGCCAGCTTTCATAGGCACTCGCTAATAGCACTTGCGCCAACAGCATTTGGTGGTTATACGGGGTATCTTTGTCTTTGTACACAAACGGCATTGCTGTTTTGCGCTGAACCGGAGGCACATAGTTTGTTCATACGGAGTGCTGTTGCCAACGACATCCGATAATCGAGCGCAGTTTCTTTATTAACAAGGCTGACTCTGCTGACGAGACCTAGAAAGTCAAAACCAGTGCAGAGTTCGCTTACGTACGCAAGTGCTCCTATTTGATGACTTTGTTCCGCATATCCCAATCGGCCTGTGGACTTAAACGAGGACGTGTCCTGACTTGTGGAGACCCGGGACTACGCGGGATCTGCCTTCGCAAGGAGGAGGTTGCCGATGTGACTCTTGCGCAATGCATTCTTCAGCTGGTGCGATCTATCTTTTGTCCGTCTAAGTTAAGGCTCCAGCAGCACCAGCAGCATCACACCATCACCAGCACCATCACCAGCACCATCACCATCAGCACCATCATCAGCACCATGATCACCAGCACCATCAGCAGCACCATCAGCAGCACCATCATTAGCAGCACCATCAGCAGCACCATCAGCACCATCATCACCATCAGCACCATCATCACCATCATCAGCACCATCACCATCAGCAGCACCATCAGCAGCACCATCAGCAGCACCATAAGCAGCACCATCAGCAGCACCATCAGCACCATCATCATCACCATCACCATCAGCAGCACCATCAGCAGCACCATCAGCACCATCATCACCATCACCATCAGCAGCACCATCAGCACCATCATCACCAGCACCATCAGCAGCACCATCAGCAGCATCATTAGCACCATCATCACCATCACCATCAGCACCATCAGCACCATCATCAGCAGCACCATCAGCAGCACCATCAGCAGCACCATCACCATCATCACCATCACCATCAGCACCATCAGCACCATCAGCAGCAGCACCATCAGCAGCACCATCATCAGCACCATCATCACCATCAGCACCATCAGCACCATCATCAGCAGCACCATCAGCAGCACCATCAGCACCATCATCATCACCATCACCATCATCAGCACCATCATCAGCACCATCACCAGCACCATCACCAGCACCATCACCAGCACCATCAGCAGCAGCACCAACACCATCACCAGCACCATCATCAGCACCATCAGCAGCAGCACCAACACCAACACCATCACCAGCATCAGCACCACCATCATCAGCACCATCAGCAGCACCAGCAGCATCACACCATCACCAGCATCAGCACCACCATCATCAGCACCATCAGCAGCACCATCAGCATCACCATCAGCAGCACCATCAGCAGCGCCAGCGGCACCAGCTGTGGGCGACGTGCGTCTGCGCGCCCCTCACCTGCACGCGCGACGGCTCCACGACGCGCCCCGCCGCGCCGAAGCTTTCCACGCGTTGCGCAACCCCCATGCCGTTAAGTGGCTCAGATCATATTCATCCCATCACTATTTTTGGTGTCGCGATGAAGAATGGAGTACACAGACACAATAATCACGGCCATTCACGCGTAGCTGCTGCCACCCCCCCCCCCGCCCGTATATATCCCGATAGCGGCGCGCGGCGGTGGCTGCCGCAGTACAGATGGATGAACCTCTGCGGTGCGTGTGTGTACGGCGTGTGTGCGTGTGTGCGTGCTGTGTAGTAGTAGTAGATAGACTGCGTGTGTAATTACCAAGCTCCCGAATGTTCCTCCTGGGGATGAGCGTCCCAGTGGTCAAGTGAAGGACATTGTGTGTGTGTGAGAGAGAGAAAAAAAGAGAGAGAGAGAGAGAAAAAAAACACGACTATAACGTGAATCAATATTGCTCGGATAGAGAATGACGGCGCTAATGACCAAAAATGTGCTTATTCTCTCAGTATTCTAATTTTTTTGTACGTCCTTGGATAGGATGATGATGATGGCAGTGGTTATTACGTACGCAGAATCACTCCTCCTCCCTCGGATCCTCCGATCTCCGTTTATTGGTCCATAACCCCGCGTATATAAAATGCCACTAATGTCCAACTCAATTCAAGGTCTTTCCCGCGGCTAACAAAGGCCATGTGGGGGGGGGGGGGGAACGTCGCCTTCGTGTCACGGCGACTCGGAGAGAAGCGATGACGTAACCGGCGAGACGCGAGGCTTCGAGGGCCGTGCGAGAGACTCTCTGCTCTGATGGATACGGCGCGGAAAGGGGGTAGTGAAAGAAAACTACAACAACACGTGTGTGCGTGCGTGCATGTGTGTGTGTGTGCGTGTGTGTGCGCGTGTGTGTGTGCGTTGTGTGCGTGTGCGTGTGTGCGTGCGTGTGTGTGCGTGTGTGCGTGCGCGTGTGCGTGTGTGCGTGTGTGTGTGTGTGTGCGTGTGTGTGTGTGTGTGCGTTGTGTGTGTGTTCCGTTGTGCCTCGCATCCGCCGGAACACGTGCGGAGCGTTCGCGATGGATGCGCGGCGGCGGGCGGAGCGCGCGACTCTCCAGAGCCACGCGGCGACGGAGGCGGTGGAGGCGTCAAATAAAAAATAAATACGAAGCGAGCGACACGCCACGCACGGAACGCCATACGAGTGAACGAGCGAAGGTGGTGGTCGTGGTGGTGGTGGTGGGACAAGCCAGCGCTTTTAACGTCCATAGCCCCGAGGCCGGGTTCAGTTATATTGTAGTCGTGAGTCTATCGATCAGGTTAGCGGAGCGCTGCATTTGTGTAAACACCGCATAGCGGCTTGCGTGGTGCTACGAGAGCGTCCTACAAAACAGGGCAATGAGCGCTGCCGCCGCTAGCGCGCAGCAGCAGCAGCAGCAGCATGTACAATGAATGGCTCTGCAGAGAGATTCCCCCCCCCCCGCTACATCCACCGCCCCCCACATCATCGCCATTGGAGCAACGTCACATACACCCAGCAAGCAATGCCTTCCCACTCACTCCAGCCAGCCAGTCAGCCACACATCAAAAGCGCCCCCACCCCACTCTACACCACCCCCCCCCCCTCCACCACCTTCTGCCCCCCCCACCACCACTCCCTCCTCCTCTCTCACTCCACCACCACCACATGCACCCTCCCCATCCTCTCCTCTCCCCCCCCCCTTCTCCTCCTCCAGCCCCCCCCCCCCCACCACCACTGCCGCCGCACACACTCCCTCTATAGCCTCCCCGGCTGGAAGATCGCACGCTCCCATGGGACATTTGATGGATTAGAGTTAAGCATTTCCATTCCGAGCCTACCACCTGATGGCAAGGCGGGTATATAGGCTCTGCCGCTGACATCATCCCCGGCACAGTAACAGACGTAGGACCGCAGAGAGGGAGAGAGAGAGTGGGGGAGAGAGAGGGGAGAGGGAAATAGAGGGAGAGAGAAAGAGAGATAGAACGGGAGAGGAAATCGGAACGTACACACACGTCCATCCACACGCACAGAGTCGCGCAGAGGAGGAGGAGGGGGGAAGAGCGCTCTCCGTGGTGCTGAACGCAGCCCGTGTCGCTGTCCGTGGTGCTGAACGCAGCCCGTGTCGCTGTCCGTGGTGCTGAACGCAGCCCGTGTCTCTGTCCGCTCTGCACGCCCCGGGTGGCTGTGCCTACTATCACGCAACCTTGCCTCGTCAGCACAGCAGCAGCAGCACGGGGTAACATACACGTAACGCGACAGCAGACAGACAGCAACAGATCGGCAGAGAGCAACGGCGGAGAGACAGCACAGGCGGCAAGAGGCACAGCACGGGGCGCCGAGTCACAATGCCGCGCTCTTTCCTCGTGAAAAAGGTGAAAACGGACGATTTCCTGTCGTCTTTCTCCAGTGCCATAGTGTCCGACAGCAGCCTCGATGCGCCCTACATCCACTCCCGCTCCTTCTCCGACACAGGGACCAGCATCAGCGTCCGCGTTACGCACAATGGTGAGTGCAAGCGCCGTACCCCGTACTCACCCCCCCCCCCATTACTGCTGCTACTGCTGCGGCCCCGACACAACGCAAGCTACATGTGGGTAGTTGTCAGAGACCCACACTGTGTTTTTGTGTAGAGGTCGCAGCAGCCTTAGTAGCTGTTCGCCGTGTGCGCGCGTGTATTGTTACAGCAGTCTGATGGAGTGGTGGCGCAGTGGTTAACACACTGCGCTACGACCCCCCCCCCCACCCCCCACCCACCAATCTGAGTTCGATTCCTGGCCGCGGCTAATATCAGTGGTGATTCTAATATCAGTGGTGATTCTAATATCAGTGGTGATTCTAATATCAGTGGTGATTCTAATATCAGTGGTGATTCTAATATCAGTGATGATTCTAATATCAGTGGTGATTCTAATATCAGTGGTGATTCTAATATCAGTGGTGATTCTCTGAACCGGTATTGAGGCTGGCGGAGGTCAATTCAGCCGAAATTCAGTGTCTCGTGAGACGTGTAAACACCAGTGCTGGGAAGACAAAGGCAGCCGTGCGTGGATTAACATTAACATTAGATGGTGAGTGATACCTAAACCAGCCCGCTCCCCTTCATTTAAAACCAACCCGCATTGACCAGCTTGGTGAAGTATGGTCAAACCACCACCCCCCCCCCTTCATCCAGCAGTGGGTAGACAAAGGAGCTGTCGATGTTAACGAGTTCCAGTACCACAATCATGCGATGCCTCTGTCGCGTGAATCCATAAGAATCATCAAGGCCCCTCGCACAGGAGGCTGCTGCTCCACAATGTTTGGCCATTCCCCTTGGGAGTCGCCGGGTTCCCGATGTCAACGTGTTGCACACGCGGACTGCATGCGGACTGCATGCGGACTGCATGCGGCGCGCGTTAGGCGTAGCGGTGTAGCGCACAGCGCTACCAACCCGGCCACCCGAGTTCGATTCCCGCTCACGGTGACAATTATCCCGCTATTGTCTGAACCGGTCCTGGGCATCCGCTAGGTCGACCCGGCCTCAAATGATTACCCAGGGCGGTGTGTAAACATCAGCACGGTGGAGACGAAGGCGGCGGTGCGGGCCACTCGCTCCCCTCGTGTGGGCTGGCCGTGCCGGCCTTCTTAGAGCGCGCTCACTCACACCACTTGCGCCAACGGCGTGTTGTTAAGGGCCATAGGGGGAGAATATGTGTCGATGTACGAGTGAGCGAGCGAGCGAGTGCGTGGCGCTGTGCGTACAATCGCACACGGCTTGTTTGGCCAATTCCCCGTCCGATCGGCGCCAGTCTGTCCGCATGTTCCTCTGGGCCTCGCGAACGCCACGAAACCGCCCGCGTCGCTTTGTGCACTTGGCCGCTGTCTCGGGCCTTGCGCGGGTGAAATGCGCATTGACGTGCCAGCCTCACGGCGCGGGCAGTTGGTGGCTGTACACTCCCGCTTACGTAACATCGGAGTGCCCGTGCCCTCGTGTGCGTGTGTGTGTGTGTGTCTGTTGGGGGAGCGGTTAGCGAGCTGGGCTACGAACCCGGCGACCCGAGTTTAATTGCCGCTCATGGCCAACAGCAGTGACAGTGATGAACTAAATTGGAGTCTAGGTAGACTCAGCCTCAAATGAGTACCTGGTGTGGTGTGTAAATGTCGCCACTGGGGAGACAAAGGCGGCCGGGCGTTGTGCTTTCCAAACACCCTGTCGTGTGCCGGCCTTCATAGGTGCTCGCTAACAGCACTTGCCCCAACAGTCTGAAAAGGCTATACGGGGGATCTTTGTTGTGGTGTGTGTATGCTTGTGTCTATATCATTGCATCATCTCCAAATCGAGTTGTGTGCACATGAGCACGAGCTCGCGTGTACGTGCGTGTGTATATGTGTGTGTGTGTACACGTGTGTGTGTACACGTGTATGTGTGTGTGTACATGTGTGTGTACACGTGTGTGTGTACAGGTGTGTGTGTGTACAGGTGTGTGTGTACACGTGTGTGTGTGTATACGTGTGTGTATACGTGTGTGTGTACACGTGTGTGTGTGCGCGCGGGTCAGCGCTGGCGCTACCCACCCAGCAGAGACCCGAGTTCGATTCCCGCTCACGGCCAACATTGGTCACGAATATCTGAACCGGTTCTGAGCCTCTCGCCTAGCTCGACTCGGCCTTAAACTAGTACCCTACCCAGCGCGGTGTGTAAACAACAGCACCTGGGGAGACAAAGGCGGGGTGCTGGCCACTCACACCTTCTCGTGTGCCTTCATAGGTACTCGCTAAGACACCTTTCCCTCGGAAGTCTGTGAGAGGCAAAATGGGAAATGTTTATTTGTCTATTGCGTATCTTCCGTGCGTTTTTAAGTTAATATTAACGTCGTTGCGTTGTTTGTTATTTCAAATTGTGTTGCTCTGAGTGTGTGCATTCATACCCTGTGTGTGTAAATACATAATCTGTGTGTATGTGTGCATACACTCTGTGTGTGTGCACACATCACCTTCAACTCCCGCCTCTGTGTCTGTGTGTCCCATGTACGTATACTGTATATGTGAGTTATTAATCGTAAAATGTATTGTTGTTGCTGCAGTATTGTTGTTGTTGTTGTTTGTGTTTACAAATCGTGTACCAGGTGGTTGTGTTGTCCTCGCCTTCATGTAGCACGCGTGTGTTCCTCTCATCGTCAACGCACTCGCGCATGCGTGAGTGGGTGCATCAGTGACGCATATCTGAACCGGTCCTGGGTCTCCCCTAGGTCGACTCAGCCTCAAATGAGTACCTGGTGCGGTGCGCAAATATAGCACACTAGGGAGACAAAGACGGTCGGGCGTGGTGTTGGCCACCCAACCCCTCATGTGCCGCTTCGGCCTTCGCTAACAGCACTTGCCACAACAGTTAATGAAGGCTATGCGGGACATCTTTGTCTTTGTAGCAACAATGGCTGTACTACGACGCAGCTACTCTTGTTACTGTTGTTGTACTGGTATTGTTGTTGTTGTCCTGTTGTTGTTGTCCTGTTGCTGTTACACTATTGGTGATTGTATGAACCAACTGTGTAGGATAACTTGGGTGACCAGTTCTCTTATCAAACTTTTCCCGAATCCTTGCGCGGAACGAGTGCACTGACGCGTAAACACCGACACTTAGGGAGACAAAGGCGGCCGTGGGAGTGTCGTGACGCTGTCACCCATCGCCCTCCACATTGTGTGCCGTCCCGGTCTTTAGATAGGTGCTCGATAACAGCACTTGCCTCAAAAGTAGGCGTATGGCTATAAGGGGGAGCTTTGTCATGAACCATAAGCGGGCTTTTCAACAATTGCTGTTGGTCTTCGCCGCACAGAATGCGACGGCTTTGTTATCTATATACTATTACAAATTCCGTCGACAAAGGCGAAGTTACTCTCTCGCGAGTCTGAGTACTCGCTGTATATAAATAATATCATAAAGACTAAAACGTATCGCCATGTACTTCTGTGTGTCCAACTCTAATGGCCTCGCCGCGCTTCGGCGAGGAAGGGCCATGAATTATTAAACGTGCGTAGGCAGAGCAACCCACGTGCAGCGAACACGTTTTGACATCTTTTACGCTCTCTCTCTCGTTCCATCTCTCTCTCGTTCCATCTCTCTCTCGTTCCATCTCTCTCGTTCCAACTCTCTCGTTCCATCTCTCTCGTTCCATCTCCCTCTCTCTCGTTCCATCTCTCTCGTTCCATCTCTCTCGTTCCATCTCTCTCGTTCCATCTCTCTCGTTCCATCTCTCTCGTTCCATCTCTCTCGTTCCATCTCTCTCGTTCCATCTCTCTCGTTCCATCTCTCTCGTTCCATCTCCCTCTCTCTCGTTCCATCTCCCTCTCTCTCGTTCCATCTCTCTATCTCTCGTTCCATCTCTCTATCTCTCGTTCCATCTCTCTATCTCTCGTTCCATCTCTCTATCTCTCGTTCCATCTCTCTCTCGTTCCATCTCTCTTTCTCTCGTTCCATCTCCCTCTCTCTCGTTCCATCTCACTATCTCTCGTTCCATCTCTCTTTCTCTCGTTCCATCTCCCTCTCTCTCGTTCCATCTCTCTTTCTCTCGTTCCATCTCTCTATCTCTCGTTCCATCTCTCTATCTCTCGTTCCATCTCACTTTCTCTCGTTCCATCTCACTATCTTTCGTTCCATCTCTCTCTCTCTCGTTCCATCTCTCTATCTCTCGTTCCATCTCCCTCTCTCTCGTTCCATCTCTCTTTCTCTCGTTCCATCTCTCTATCTCTCGTTCCATCTCTCTATCTCTCGTTCCATCTCTCTATCTCTCGTTCCATCTCTCTATCTCTCGTTCCATCTCTCTATCTCTCGTTCCATCTCTCTATCTCTCGTTCCATCTCTCTATCTCTCGTTCCATCTCACTATCTCTCGTTCCATCTCCCTATCTCTCGTTCCATCTCACTATCTCTCGTTCCATCTCACTATCTCTCGTTCCATCTCTCTTTCTCTCGTTCCATCTCCCTCTCTCTCGTTCCATCTCTCTATCTCTCGTTCCATCTCTCTCTCTCTCGTTCCATCTCACTATCTCTCGTTCCATCTCACTATCTCTCGTTCCATCTCTCTCTCTCTCGTTCCATCTCACTATCTCTCGTTCCATCTCACTATCTCTCGTTCCATCTCTCTTTCTCTCGTTCCATCTCTCTATCTCTCGTTCCATCTCTCTTTCTCTCGTTCCATCTCTCTATCTCTCGTTCCATCTCTCTATCTCTCGTTCCATCTCACTATCTCTCGTTCCATCTCTCTCTCTCTCGTTCCATCTCACTATCTCTCGTTCCATCTCACTATCTCTCGTTCCATTTCTCTCTCGTTCCATCTCTCTCTCTCGTTCCATCTCTCTCACTATCGTCCCATCTCTCGTTCCATCTCTCTCTCTCTCGTTCCATCTCCCTCTCTCTCGTCCCATCTCTTTCATTCAATCTCTCCCCCTCTCTCCTCCTCCTCCGGTGCCGTTACCACCATCATCACCACCACCGCCACCACCACCCAGGCTACATCAGCGACTTCATCGCGCCCAGCATGTACGGGGGAGAGGCGCTGGACGGGGTCAAGATCGCGTCCCCCGAGTCGGCCTACTCGACCGCCAACAGCGACGACTTCAGCAGCGGCGAAGCGGAGCAGCCGGACAGTCCTCGCTCGGACGCAGCGGTGTCTCTCATCGACGCCGACACCGCGGCGAGTGACGGCTACGCGATGGACGCCTTCTTCATCACGGACGGCCGCTCTAGACGCAGCAAGTGCAACGTCGCTGCCTGCGACGGCAGAGCAGGAGGAGGAGGAGGAGACGGCGGCGGCGGCGGTGGTGGTGGTGGCGACGGAAGAGGGGGAGACGGCGTGAGAGGAGTCGGAGGAGTCGTCGGAGGAGGAGCCGGAGTCGGCGGTGCGAGGAGTAGCGGCCCATCGGCGGGAGCCAACAAGGAGTCGGGCGGCGGCGGCACGCAGCTGAGACACACGTGCGGCGAGTGCGGCAAGACGTACGCCACCTCGTCCAACCTGAGCCGGCACAAGCAGACACACCGCAGCCTCGAGAGCAAGATGGCCAAGAAGTGCCCCACGTGCAACAAGGTGTACGTGTCGATGCCCGCGCTCGCCATGCACGTGCTCACGCACGACCTCAAGCACAAGTGCGACGTCTGTAGCAAGGCGTTCAGCAGGCCCTGGCTGCTGCAGGGCCACATGCGCTCGCACACGGGCGAGAAGCCCTTCGGCTGCGCCCACTGCGGGAAGGCGTTCGCGGACCGCTCCAACCTGCGCGCGCACATGCAGACCCACTCGGCGTTCAAGCACTTCCAGTGCAAGCGCTGCAGCAAGACGTTCGCGCTCAAGTCCTACCTGAATAAGCACTACGAGTCGGCGTGCTTCAAAGCCGGGGGGAACAGCGAGGATGACAGCTGAGAGAGAGAGAGAGAGACGACGCCGCACCGCTACACCAGCGGTAGCCGCAGCCGCAGCAGCCACCATCGTCACCGCCGCCGCCGTTGCTACTGCTGCTGCTGTGAAAGATGATGAAGCTATGATGGAGATGGGAGTGAATAACAAGCAAGGAGCGACACCCGCTGGGAAGTTCTGTTGACAACAGCAGCAGCAAGATGATGGTGATGATGGTGGCGGTGGCGACAGAAGGAAAACAGATATGCAGTTTATATTTCAATCATTATCTTCCAAAAGAGCGTTCTTCCTTTTTGTTTTGAGTAATCGAATCAAATGACACAGGTCTTCCAATGGAACCAAAACATTTTGGTTGTGTGCGTGCGTGAGTGAGATAGAGAGACGGAGAGTTCGTCGTTTTAATTTCGCATTCCTGATTTTTTTTAAATCAACTTGCAAAAAGTCCAAGTATTATGAATTTACGAAGTCAAACAGCTCCACCCGTCGGGCTGCCCGTGTTGGGTTACGAGCAAGGTTCCGCCACTGCCCGTTTTGTTTTCAAAGGTGGACTGGTAGACTTCTCTGGTTCGCGGATATTTTATACTCGGGTTCAACTCGTAAACCCCCGGTCTTGACTCAAGGCCACGTGTTTTTATGAAACGGAACTCTCCCCCACCACCCCTCCCACACCCACCCCCCTCCCCGCAATACTTCTGCGCGTGTAGTTGTGTGAAAGAGTCTGACTGGGCAACGCTCCCCAGCGGTCAGTCAGTCTCATCCAGGGAATGCTCAGCATCGCGTAACCTATACGTCCATCACTGCTCGTACCGCTGTATATTGTACGTGTGTTGACAACGGGAATATCCGTGTCGTGTGTCTATCCCTGCGTCACAAACAACCTCACCACAACCCCCAACCTCTCCATGTCAGCCTCTCTGTCCCTATTGTCTGCCTGTCTGTCTCTCTACCATGCTTTTGTCAGTCTCTCTGTCATTGTCTGTCTGGATCTGACACCGTCTCACCTCTGTCTGTATTTCAACATACATGACTGTATGTTAATGTCTCTCTCTCTGTGTTCCTCTAACCCACAGAATCATTTCACCCTCATCCCCAAGCCTCACAAAATGTTTCTCTTTTAAGGGGGCAATTTGAGCACCCCCTCTCCCCTCCTCCCTGTACTCCACTCCCCCGATCGCCCCGTCCCCCACCCTCTTTTTATAAATGGCAAGCCGTGTTAATGAGCAATACAGATAATATGTAAATGAGTGCGTGCTAAGCGTCTGTTCGTTTTTTTTACAATAGACGCTACGAATAGGGTAACTCTCCATCGACTGCACTTTATGTTACATTTTGCACCGGCGTTTATTTCCTTATCGAATGCTATTTATTTATTTCGTGTATTTATTTATTTTACATTTATAAGAACAAAACATCGATTACGTTTCGTAAAGCCAAAACGTCTTTCAGTTGCGCGTGGAATGCCTCTAATATAATATCCGTATTGTTTGTTTGTTTGTTTTAATATACAAACGCGTGAATATGACTCTATGTTTGATTTAGGTGATTAAGCATCTTTCGTGGAGTTCTTTAGCAACCACGATTTTTCTTTTTTTTTGCAAAGCGTATTCATAATCCACGTGACGTTGATTTCGAACATTGAGTCTTCCACGGCTGTTGGCTGGCTGGCAAAACAAATAAAAAGTAGCAAGCCTGATCCTTTTCTTCCAATCCTATAATTTGAACTCCCCTCGAGAGGGAAGAGTTCCGATTATTTGGGTGACCAAAAAAACCACCATTCTTCCAAATGCATCGGCAGGTATTCATCCCCCATATTTTAACCGTTTCCTACAGATTAATTCATTGATTGATTGGTCACCACATTCTCTATAATCGAGTGCAGCCGCGTACAGTGAAAAATAATTAACTACAAATGAAAGAGAGAAACAAAATCAAGAGAAACATTTGTACATACTTAAGGGCAATAATTGTGATGTTTACTTTCTTAAAAAACCTTACGGGGGAGAAAAAAAAAAACTAAAATTAAGCAAAAAAAGATGAAATGACAAAAAAATTATAATCAGATAATTGAAAAAAATGAAACCTACACGCTTTTTACAGTCACCAGCTCTGAATGCAGTATTTATTACAAGTTGTATAACCGCCACATTTAAAGTTTACAGCAATTGCTATGTTATTATTGTTGTTGTTGTTATGAATTATTGTTACGATCATTATTATCGCTGGCTGTACTTCAATTAATAAGCATTCGGTCCCCGCAAATAAAGGGGAGGCGTTTACTTTGTATGCCGATATAGAAGTGGTAGCTCCAGTGTGAAGGGTTCAAATATAAGCAGCATGCGGAAGGCGTCTCGACCCAATGTGATGATGATGATGAAACGAGTGGCCTGGTCCTTATTAACACCGAAGAACAGCTGACGTGTAGACCAGGTATATTCAGTATGGAATTTAAAAAAAAGAAATGCACTTGTAATTCATCCGAATGCCTGTGGTTAAGTCACAGTTCCCCCGTTTAATATAACGCGTACACGTGACGAGCTGTCCGTCTCCTAGCATGCTCTATCGTATGATAATGTGTAAATACCCTTCCACAAATGCATATCAGAAGAAAAAAAAGAGTATGCCGCTAATATACCTGTTGTTAATGTTCAACCCGTTTGGGAATGATATCGTTTGGGGTTTGTTTGCGTTCGTTTGTTTTTGTGTTGGGCATGCCATTCTACAAGTATCTTTGTTGCGCTGTATATCTGTGAACTAGCGTCTGTTGCGCCTATATTTGTCGATACTAACACAGGGTTTATATAGACCCCCCCCTCGCCCTCCCGATCTCCCGCACCCCTACCCCCCCTACCACAAAAAAATGTTTTCGCTTCCGAGGCAGAGATGGTTGTCAACATCACCATCACCACTAACCCACGTGTCTACGCGTCGCTCGAGGCAGTGCAGCCAACATGAGTTCGCTCTCTGTCTGTCTGTCTCAGAACCAAACTCACCTCCTAAGCGATGGTCCCAGCCCATGCCTCCGTTCATTCATTGCCACACGATGGACAACCTCCACAGCTCAACAGCTGCACCACGACTGCCTGACGACTTAATTAACTCACTAATACTATAATGACAATACTTTTAAGCGGGTTTTTTCTTGTTTTTTCAACAATCAGCTTGTTATTTATTTAGTATTTTTTTTATTATTATGAAGAGTTCGAGCTGGTATTCGGTATAGCCATCTGGTTATTTTGACGCATTTAGATCGTTGCCATGAATCGGACGCCCCTTGTTCCGCTTGGGGCCCTGAGTCATCTTGCTTCGTGTGATGTCGCCAAGCGCCACCAACTGAGTGCCCTCACTCCCTACGCCACATCCCATGTGCAGGTGGCTCCCTCCATCACCACTCGCTTGCGTTGGTAATACTTACAGACAAAGATTCCCCGTAGAAGCCTTAACAGACTGTTGGGGAAAGTTTGCTGTTAGCGAGTATCAGCAACTATGAAGGTCGCCACGGCTCACGAGGGGGGTGGGTTGCCAGCACAACGCTCGGCCGCCTTTGTCTTCCTCGTGGCGACGCTTGCATATCGCACCCAGGTACTCGTTTGAGACTGAGTGGAACCTACGGGCGGCTCAGGAACCGGTTCAGATAATCGTCGCTGGCGTTGACCGTGAGCGAGACTCGAACTCGGGTCTCCGGATTCGTAGCGCAGCGCGCTAACCACTGCGCCACCACCCGCTTAGAGAGCCCCCCACACACGCACGAGCTGATCTCCACACCGACGTAGATGATATCACATAGCCATCGTTCATTTGAAGGTTTTAACATACATAACACTCTGTAACACCATTTTTGTCTCTGGGTAGTTAGTGTTATTTTTCAACTGCTCATGCCTAAAAAGTATAGAAAATTGATATTATTCCCCGCGAACTTTGCTTTTGTGACCAGGACTTTATATGAATGAATGACACAAATGCACACCACGTTTTTTCATTGAAAACAGGTAAACTTCAAAATATTACTGCCCTGGTCACAAAAGCAAAATTCGTGGGGAATAATAATAGCCATTGTCTGTACTTTTGACGCATAAGCAATTAGGAAATAACATTTTGTACCAAGGAACAAGTTGTTGTTTTGTTACACAGTGCTATACCGTCCTTTCCAGCTGCCGGCTAAACGTGACGTGCGTCATCATGCCTTAGTTGAGTCGCTTATTCGTTCGCTTGATTAAAAATATAACGCGACACACCGATAACGGAGTAATTGTGACTTAAAGGTTTTTTTTCTTGTTTCCCGCTATGGAATCTGCTGAGCCCGTGTTGATTATCCGAAGGCAAAGATAATCCCTCCCTCCCCTCCACCCCTCCCCCCCCCACCCCCTCCCCTCGTGTGTTGGGACGCAAACTGAACGTTCGACGTGCATGGCAGGAACAAGTTCGCGTTGCCGCCTGGTCTCGCTTAGCCACCCAGCCCCCCCCCCCCCGGCCTTCAGCAAGGGCCCCCTTCGTGTTGCCCGAAGGGCCGCTTGACCTGGCTGGAAATCTCTAAAAGTCTTCCCCGGGGAATTATAAAACATCCCGGCTTGTTATTAGTAATAATGATAACAACAACACTGCCGCCATGATAATAATAATAATAATGCAGCAGCAGCAGTATTCAAGGCAATGTCATCACACGTAGATCTTCTCTCTTCCAGCACAACGAGATTAGTATTATTATTATTCATCTTCTTCCAATGATAGGTCCAGGTTGTTCTATTGTTGAAGGACCTCAGAGGTGGCGACCCTTACTCGGTACACAAGAAGCGGAGCTCACGCCATGTGCATCCAGGTGTTCGGCCACTCAGAAATATCGGGAGGGAGAATCAAGGACATTGAAATCAAATGCGTTTTGTTTGCTCGTCGTCGTTGTTGTTGTTGTTGCGGTTGCGGTGTGGCCACGAATGGGGATTTGTTGAGTGGCGCGTGACCGCTATTTTGTATGTGAACCCGTGCGAGGATTTTCCACTGTGTTAAAGCCAAGTTTTTGGTCACGCAAGTGCGTATCTACACAATTGCCATGCACGCAGGGTATAGGAAACGGTGTGGGGGGGGGGGGTATAGATAATGGGGGAGGGGGAATAGGTAACGGTGGGGGGGGGGTATAGGTAATGGAGGAGGGGGTATAGGTAACGTGGGGGGATAATTTACAACGTGCTCAGAAACAAAGATGACGTCGCCAGCCTGTGAGTTTGTGTCGAATGTGGACAGATGACGCGCACACGAAGACACACAAAAGACACAAAAGACACGAAGACACACAAAGACACACAAAGACACACAAAGACACACACACAGACACACAAAAGACACGAAGACACGCACAGACACACACAGACACACACAGACACACAAAAGACACACGAAGACACACGAAGACACACACACACAGACACACAAAAGACACGAAGACACACACAGACACACACAGACACACACAGACGCACAAAAGACACACGAAGACACACAGAGGACACAAATGACACAAAGAAACACAAAATACACACACATACACACAAAAGACACGAAGACACACAAAAGACACAAAGACACACAAAGACACACAAAGACACACAAGAATCCCTCGTATAGCCGTAACAGGTTGTTGGGGCAAGTGCTGTTAGCGAGCACCTATCAAGGCCGGCAGGGCACGCGAGGGGGTGGGTAGCCAGCAACCACGCCCGGCCGCCTTTGTCTCCCCAGTGGCGATGTTTACACACCAGGCACTCATTTAAGGCTGAGTTAACCTAGGGGAGGCCCAGGACCGGTTCAAATGTTCGCCACTGTTGTTGGCCGTGAGCGGGGAATTGAACTCGCGTTTCGAAGTTCGTAACGCAACGCGCTGACCGCTGCGCCACCGCTCCTTGCCAGAACACACAGATCTCTCATTAGGGGCCGTCCATAAATGACGTCACGCACCTGGGGGGGGGTCAGACATTTGTGACGATGTGTGACGAGGGGGGGGGGTTGAAAAATGTGACGTCACATCAAAATGCACAACTTTAAATATCTATAGACGACACGTTCTACTTAATTAAATAGACTTTTTAATAAAAGTTTTCTCCTACAACATCAGAGTGCAGCGCCACATTAAATACGCACTACGCATGTTTTTTTTGGGGGGGGGGCAGAGCTTTGTGACGTCATATTTGAGGGGGGAGGGTCTGACTTTGTGACGCCGTGTGACGAAAGGGGGGGGGGGGTAAAAAATCGTCCAAAATCGCGTGACGTCATTTAAGGACGGCCCTTTAGCAGCAAGGGTTGTTGTCTGGTGTTGTTCGCTCGGCCGCCTTGAGTCACGCACGCGACTCCACCGCACGACGTCGCCTCCCGCCGCTCGCTGAGACAGATTCTGTCAACATTGGTCCCACGAGCTTCGCGGGGGGCGGGGCCAGGGGAGGTAGGGGCGGGGCTAGGAGGGGTAGGGGGGGGGATAGGGGAGGTAGGGGGGGGGCTAGGGGAGGTAGGGGGGGCTAGGGGAGGTAGGGGGGGGGCTAGGGGAGGTAGGGGGGGGGGGGGCTAGGGGAGGTAGGGGGGGGGGCTAGGGGAGGTAGTCGGGGGGGGGGGCTAGGGGAGGTAGGGGGCTAGGGAGATAGGAGGCGGGGCTAGGGGAGGTAGAGGCGGGGCTAGGGGAGGTAGGGGGGGGGGGCTAGGGGAGGTAGGGGGGGGGGCTAGGGGAGGTAGGGGGGGGCTAGGGGAGGTAGGGGGCTAGGGAGATAGGAGGCGGGGCTAGGGAGATAGGAGGCGGGGCTAGGGGAGGTAGGGGGGGGCTAGGGGAGGTAGGGGGGGGCTAGGGGAGGTAGGGGGGGGCTAGTGGAGGTAGGGGGGGGGCTAGGGAGATAGGAGGCGGGGCTAGGGGAGGTAGGGGGGGGCTAGGGGAGGTAGGGGGGGCTAGGGGAGGTAAGGGGGGGCTAGGGGAGGTAGGCGGGGGGGGGCTAGGGGAGGTAGGGAGAGGTAGAGGCGGGGCTAGGGGAGGTAGGGGGGGCTAGGGGAGGTAGGGGAGGTAGGGGGGGGCTAGGGGAGGTAGGGGGGGCTAGGGGGAGGTAGGGGAGGGAGGGGGGCCCTTGTTGTTTCCACACCGTCAAAGTATTTTTGTTAAAATAAAACGCCAACCAAGTGTTACGTTAAGGTCCGTCGATGTTCGCAAGTCGTATTCAGCATCCGATGGTGTTTGTTGTTTGTTGTGTTCACAGTGGAGGGAATCCGACGAGCTGTTAAAGCTCTTCTGTTGCTTCACACGTGTCCAGGAGTGTCACGGATGCCCGGTGTTCTTTCTAAATAACGCGGCGTGATGCAATGTGCACGATGTAAGGGTGCGTCTATGCGTCTGTGTGTACGTGCGAGCCGAGGTGATGTAATAACGCAAATAATAAGCCTTATAATAATGACAACAACGATGCATTGTTATGATAGTGTACATCCATGTGTGTCACGCCACTGATGGGTGAAGGCCTCCTGCCCATCCTGCCGGTGTTTGTCATGGGGGGTTGTGTTTGACCATACTTCACCATGCTGGTTGGTGGCGGTGGTGGGGGGGGGGTGGTGGTGGGGGGGGGGGGGGTGGTGGTGTAGGGGGTTGGGAGTCGGGGGGGGGGAGATGCCCAGAACCAGTTCAGATGTCACTCACCACAGACCGTAGCTCTGCCCGGGAATTCGAACTCAGGTTGGCAGTGGGCACGCTGCATTGCCACTCCATGCTATGCGATCTCATCGCCCCCCCCCCACTAGCCTGATGCAGTACACAATATAGACTGTAGCTGATCCAGGCCTCGTCACGACCCGAGCCCACACTTAACCCGATCCGCCTCGCCGGTGTCGCACACGCGTGCCGGCACGCGTGTGCGACGCAGAGCGATCATCGTGCGGAACCCATCCGTCTGCTTCCAATGGTAAACGCACGCGCGTTACCACTTTTTGACACTTTCAAGCAAAAAAAAAAACTGACGACGGCGTAGCGCATTTTTTCTTAGTTTATTTGTTTACAAAATAACGCAAGAAGGCCGAGATCCCTGCCCCGTGGAGCCGTTTAGTAGACTCGAGGCAAAATCGATGTTAGGGGCCAGCTGCGTCTTCACACGGAGGAGTGCGGTGCCTTGCACCACGCCCGGCCGCCTTTGTCTCCCAACACGCTGATGCTTACACACTCATTTAAGGCTGAGCCGAACTTAGCGGAGGCTCAGGACCGGTTTCAAAGTAATTGCCACCACACACACACACACTCATTTGCATGGCCTTATAATTGTAATCTATTTTGTAAGAGTGTGCGTGTGTGACCTGGCTCCAGCGGTCGCGCGTTGGCCGCTTGTTGACGAGATTTCGCGGTTCGAATCCGAGAGGCATCCCCTGGTTAATCCCTAGCGTGGTATATCGACCGTGAGAAAGGTCACTGTTACGTCACAGCGGAGAGAGTCCGTGACGTCGTTCAGTGCGTGCCGCGACCTCGTGGCGTGGCACACGATCTGCGCACGGTCCGTTCGACTCAAGATTTGAATGGATTCAGATTTTTTTTTTAAAGATCCAGTCGACAACCTTGGCTAGACATGAAAGCAAATTCAACTGCAGTACTTATTCGGGAAGATAACAAATTACTGAAACGTTTTCTTTTCGCGGTTGTTGCCGTTCCACCTCTCTTCGCGGTGTTTTCGAGTTGCACCACGTGCTTGCTCGCCACGATGTGCCGACGTTTCGCTGCACGTGCCAGAAGCTTCCCGAAAAACACGTGGACAGCGGAACGTCGGTCATCACACCAAGCAGCAAACGCGATACAACCCCCCCCCCCCCCCCCCCTCCCCCCACAAATCATCTCTAAATCTCTAACTACATCGAAGAGATGACCGGACAAAATTATCCAGCCCAGGCCAATCTGTGCAAGTCGGATTGAAACGGACTCGTGACTTCCATTCTCGGCGTGGATACCCTGGAGTTAGGGAGCGAGATTCTGTCGGAGCGAAGCGTCGTCGTTGTTGTTGTTGATGTTGATGATGACGACGACGGGCAAGAGGCGAGAGCTGGAGGCTGGGCGCGTGGTGTGGCCGGATGAATGGCCAGCCGAGTGGGCTTGCTAAGGAAGAAGGCGATACACAGGGAGGTGTTCACTGTTGTGGTGCAGTCAAGCGGTGTGTTAATTGTGAAGCGGGGAGTGGGCGAGGGGTGCTGAGTGGGTGGGAGATTGGATATAACAACCCACCCCTCTGCGTCTCCTCCCCCCTTTCTAATTAACATGAACAATTAGAGCAAAATTGCACGGCTTGAGCACGTTTCCTTATAAGGGCTGTCCCATACACACGCGTCTTGCTCGCGTATAGCCCCGTGCCGCACGCCGAGAGG